AACATGGTTAGTTTCGATGTACAGTTAGCCAAATTAATACGCTCTTTGAGAAAAACAATGCTTGTAATCCAGGGGTCTTCCACATCCAAGTTCTTCTTATTTACAGCTCTTCCCATGACGAACCCTAAGCGATTTCGAAAAAATTTACCCAATCTAAATACTGCAAATCGACGGACATTTGAGTTTTAGTAGTGCTGTAGTGGATACGGAGCCGTGAGCTTTGCCCTGCTCCTATTGTGCCTTTAAATCAGCTAATTTTACTCTGTGAGGTTACGTGCAGGGCAGCCTAAACTACAGTATACACCAAAAGCTATAGCCTTAAAATTATCTAACCCTGTTTATCTCGTTACTCTTTGCGGCTATTAAGATGAATTGAAAGCACCTTTATTATAGGAGGGGATTATGTATAGCATCCATTATGTATAATACATTAAGAACGAAAGCAGGTATAGCGCGTTCATGAAACGGTTTGCGTATTTGCCACACATATTTATTATTTACAATCTTATTTCTAGTAACGGTTTCAGGAGCCATGATACACTTGTTAGTAATGATTTGTAAAGTCGACTTTATACAGTCGGGTGATGCAAGCATTTAGCTATTTAGATGACGATATAGAAGTGACTGGCAATGACTCCAGTGAGCATCTTTAATATATAAACGATAATAAATTACATCCCATATATAATCCCAAAATATAAATAAACAATGTAAGAATTTCATTTGACCAACTATAGTATACGTTGAAGAAAAACCAGTGTTACGGATAGTCGTATGTGAAGATCTTGAATGGTACGTACAATAAGGAATACTGCATTATTTATTGAGGCCTTTTTCAGCACTTCACACTTTTCATTGCAAAGCTGAATAGTGCATTTTCTGCACATCAATTATATTTTGTTATGAGATCCAAAGTACAATACTCCTACAAGTCATTTGTAAGTATTCCCTTTTAGGTGATATGGTTATATACTTTACACGAAGCCGAAAGACAAAATATATCACTATCGAAGAACACAATCTGCGTATAACAAATGCACAATACAACTTCTTTGAGGCACGCCAGAAAGGGTCGGTAGGGGGTGGCTTAAATATCGCACGGAACAACTTCACGACCAAGTGGATTGAAAGCCGTCGTAAAATAGGATGAGTAAATACCCAGGTCAGTAAGTTTCCGGATCAGGATCCATTCTACTAAAAGCGCCGTTGTAATCAAGATACACACATCTGTATGACCTGCGATTGTTTGCGTACATGGTCCTATCTGGGCCGTTTCCAACATTTGCGTGCAAGTAGAACAATGGGCACGGATAGGATCATGTAGGATAGGATCAAAAAAGTTGATCTTCGAAAAGAAAAGCAAACATGTCATGCATTAATTTTGCTTTAAAAATGCGAGAAACAAATTGCTGAAGGGCATAACGGTAGCTTTCTACACTTATTTTGCAACCTGCGGTGAGTACACTTTGACAAAATAGGTCTGGGCTTACATTAGCGTGGTAAGGTATAGCGAAATAGAGGTTTGGGATTTCGGTTAGGAAAAAGGAAACTTTGTAAAATATCAGCGGATTATTGTCGGATGTAAAATCTGGGCTTGCCTCAAGTTGAGACTGTGATCCAGATATTGGAAGTTCAAAAATATCAACCGAAGATTATAATATTGTTGGCGACCGTGAAGATTACTGGTGATATTGGGACAACTGACGAATAATACAGTAAGGCGAGAGGGTCGGTCAAGATATTTGCTGTATCAATGAAGATGTACGCGGCAAAAACTGACGATGACAGAGATGGAAGTGAGTTATGTTCTTTCAAATAAGAGTTAGTGTATTAGAAGAACGGAAGAAAGAAAAAGAACGTCAAGCTTAGGTTCCGTCAGAACTCTAGGTTTAAACGATGACTTGTTAATTTTGCAGGCTAACATAACGAAACAACGTTATTTCGAACACTTAGAACGGACCAAGTTGTCTATCGTTAGTAGAGAGCGGTTAACACATGCTTACTATTTCATGGAAATGCATCGCAATAGACTTGGAATTGATTTTTCTTAGATTGAGCCTACAAACTGGAGATCGGTACTTGCCAACAGTGCATGAAAAACATGGGTTTACGATTCGTTTTCATCGCAAACTTAGAACGTGACAAATTACTGATGAGATCCGGATCTGACGTCAATTAAAGATCCGAATAGATTCTGAAACAGACTGCTGTAAAAACAACAGCTAACAAATTGTGCTTCCTTAGCGGTAGAATGATAGCATGCTGCAATACCCCAGCCAATTCAGGGGAAGCTGAGATTATTGTTTATCATTACCAGAACATTAATATTGTGTAGTTTGTCACAGACATCACAAAAGGTTGTAGAATGATTTAAATACCACTAAAACGAAGTTTGTTTTGTGAGGTTAGTACATCGCTTGCAACATATATGCTTGGTAAGACAGTAGGTAGGTCAACTACGTTCGGTTCCTGGTTGGGTACTTCTCCTCTACCTACAAGACCTCTCCGCCTACTTACAAGCGAATATTTCGAAAATCTTGATAATCATCGTTAAAAGCTAGCTTGTCATCGGTTATTGTGCTGTTGAACCAAGTTTTACAAATTAATTTTAGGTTTATGTTATTAAGTAAGTAGCAGTCATGAATAGAGCCCAAAACGCTTTTAGCTGTCGACGATCACCTCAGACGTCACCCCGTGTGGTGCAGTGAGTGTGCTCTGTGTCTTTCGGATGTTTCCATCATCAAATTTGAATGGTACTCCTTCTAACAGCAGCTGTCCGCTGAACGGTTTGACGGTAAAAGCGACCGCCCAAAAATCATAGTCCAGAACAGTGATTAAGTCCTCTTCTATGACGAAAGGGCAAACGATGACTAAGTGCTATGTTGCATCTAAAGCCACTTCATCAACAGAGACCTTCTCAAGTTAGGTCTCCAACCTTACAACCTTATATAGGCCAAGTCCAAAGTTAAGGGGGCGTTCTCGACAAAAACACCCGCTTATTCGAAACTCGCACAACTGTGGACGAAGGATCGGTACTAGTAATAGCTTTTTAGACTGTGGATGCACAATTGTACCGGTTTTATGTTGTTTAGTTTTGACTGTGCTTGACATGGACAAAAGTCGTCAGTCTAGAGATTCGACGTTAATACCAGTGCACAAAAGCATGCTGAGAAAGAAGGGCGTGAAACTTCTGACAAAACATTCTAGATAAACAATGGCACTACTTCGGTAAATGCAGCATTTAAGGTCGTGGTATAATAGAACACGTTTTACAGTTAGATACCACGACGGGAATGGAAACACACACGCTTGCCAGTAATAACAGAGATGGACACAAAACAGATCTTATAGCATATAATTAGATGGCCAGATGTGAGCGGTCAGAGAATTTTAAACACTTCCGAATAATGCTTGGTAAAGTATTACACAAAAGGAGAGCAGGAAAACTATGGAACAGTAAAACAAACGTTTATCTAAATCAGCGTTAAGACTCGAAGCGTTATCTCATCAACCTGTTCTACTCGTTCTCAATATATTGCAATTCAAGTGTAGACCTACACCATCAAGTTCTGTTCTTCTAAGATTCTGAGTATCAATTGCGTTATCTTGTTTCACTCACTCCATTTCCCCGATGCACTTAATTTATTAGTAATATTTATCCCGTCGCAATCACCCTTCTTCGTGTACCCTGTCTTCTCGTTGAAATGCTGCAAAAAATCTGTAGCGTGAGCCTGTTCCAAAACCTAGATTCTGTTACACAGAAATCCTGGCCTAAATTTCTGCTCGGTCCGATTTATCCGAACGGCTACATCTTACGCGCAGCTCATGTCAGAATAACACTTTAGAGACTTCACTCTAGCGAAAAAATTAAACTAATTCGGCCACTTAATGTACGGGTCGATTTCGGTCGGACAAGACACCCCAACGGTTATAGAGCTTTATTTATATGATAGATGAATGGGTCAAGTAGGAGTCAATTGGCAGCCCAACAGTTGTAATATAAAGGGGTTGATTAGTGTCGCTGTTACTACATATTGTAGCATTTTAGGCAACAGAGTTTGAAGAAACCCACGCTTTATACGAATCAGCAAGTCAGCTAAGCTAATGAGACTCGATTTTGGTTCCTGAATTTAGCTGGCTCATTTGGCGGCGTCGCTCAGTGTCATAGGGTAATAGTGTCAGAGGCAACTCTGTCGAATTTGTAAACCAAATCCACTTATGCCGAAAAAAATGAGCGAAAAAGAGTCAGCCAATGCTTACAAGGATTACGTACGTGACTTTTTAAATTGTGAGAGCATTTGTCATTAAGGAGATTACCTCCTGAGCCAATGGAAGCGTCTCAAAATCGCGGCTGTGTTGTACCGGATTTTTTCTCCCTTGTCAGTCTTGCCTACTCTACTATCTATCTATATAATATATTATAATACGGATATCTTCTATACAATAAAAACGATAGGGGTGTGGCATAGAATATGTCTGAAAAAAATTTTTTTTGCATCTGTTTTAATCAAGTACATCCCATATAGAGCCTGAGCAGCAAAGTGTGGCATGCTTTATGATATTGTGTACTACTATAAAAGGCAGATCTCCATGAGGTCGACGTTACTAAATGGAGCAGGGTTCGTCGCTAATAAAAAGCTTTGAAGGATCTTTTTGGAGCAATTTTGCAAACATCTGTATTATTCTGACCATTAAGATCGGCAATAATATAAGAAGATAATGTGGAGCCTAAGTTTTCGACTTAGTAAAGCTGCGGTAAATACAATATCGCTGCCAATGTAAAACCCTGCGAGGTTGCTTTGATCTTTTCGGATTTTGGTACGAATATTGGCAAACTTGTTATTTCTGAAGCTTCACGTAAGGCCAAGTCTAATATATTCTAAATATATTCCAAACACAGAACGCGTTGTACGAAACGACTGTCTCTCGAGCGTTCTTTTATTGATCCATTTTGGCGGGCGTACCATTTTAATGCTTGTATCGTTTTTCGTCTATTACAGCAGACGCGATTCCTGGCAGTGGCGAAATCAGAGGAAGCGGTGTCCTTGGATTGGGAGTCGGAGTTGGGTTCGGAAGTTCCAGCGCAGCTGTCGGAGTATGCAGGGTAGATCCTCGTTTCGACACAGGTTACATGCCTAGAGGCGGAACTTTAAAGCGAGGTACATGGGATTGCACGAATCCACCCGCCAATAGTGTTGTACAGCAGGAGTCGCTTATAGGAGCCATAATATCGGAAGCCGGGAATGTTCTGTCAGGGCCCTCCTCATCCCACCTAGCTTCATTTCACCATATGACCACCTTGCCGCGACAGCCTCCACAGCATCCAACGCAAGAAGTATCACAGCATAAAGAACCAGTGCACGACATACACATGGCAGCATTACATAGTCACGTGAGTATAACTCGAGCGGCTTAGCGCTTTTTATATGAAACCATGACGTATGCTACACAATGTCGTCATACTATAAACTAAGCGATAACAAATACAGGGAGCACAGCTGAACCAGCGAAAAAAGCTAAAGACCACCGCGTAATCTATGACTACGATACGAGACAATAAAGCATCGGCATTATAATTGTTATTGATGAATGAGGTAGCTTTTTTTTTAAATGTTCTCTTTTTTTTTTTATGTTTAAGTAGATCAACAAGAATTTCTGTGTAAATTTTGATACGGCTCCTTTAATTGTTTGCTCCATCGACAATGTTCTATTGCGCAATAATCGCCAGTTTAACATACCTAGAAAAAGCATATGGTGGGTTCGGCTTTTCGAAACGAAGATGTGATAGGGATTCAAATAACCAAAACTAGCTCCTGTAGAATAAACTGATTTTAAGGTTTTTCACTATACTGGTTAGCTTTCGATCGGCTACCCGCAATATAAAAAATACAAGATCGCCAATAAACGACCTATAATTGAAAAGCATACTTCCGTCATTACGAGACTATGTTCCAGCTTCGGAAATCCCTAGGCAGCCTAACTCACAGAATAATGATTTTAAGTACAAAGACAATACTTAATGTATGCAGCTAATGGATTTACTAGGGTGCAACATGTGTATCCGATGTAAATATTATATAAAATATAAACTATCACAATTTTGAATTAAAAAGTTCCCAAATAGTTTGTGTTATTGTAGTTCTCGTTGGCTGGTTATCGTATCTGTGGTAAACTGAGCAGCTTACGTGCTTCTAGTGCGGCAAAAATCATTCGCGGACAGCAAAACTACACGCTGACTTCATTTAGCTCGTCAACAGGAAGCGTCCCTTTTTGTGTTAGGACAACGCCCAGCGTTACATGCGCCGACCCGTTATGACAAACATGATTGACCTCAATGACAAATTTTTCGACCCCGCCCACTTCACCTTTACCAGAATTTGCCTGATATGAATCGAAGTGTTACTTCGTCGCCAATGACAGTCCTTCTATGTTATTGTGTTAGGACGTAAACGTTGAAAATCTCCATCATCTTGCTCTAGGTTCTATATGCATACCATTTTGTGATCGTATGCTTTTTGCATCTATTTGCAGTACTATTCTCCGTTGTTCTAAGCACCTACATTGGATCTCTTTTTTTTTGCTTTTCCATAATATATCAACATGCAGAGAAATAGCCTCTTAAATATGCGTAATTGGCGGTGTCTCCTTGTTGGCAAGGTACAGTGGTGAGAAAGGATCTGCCCGGCTGACTGATCAAACTAGGCCTTTTGTTTGACAAAATGACGGTTAGCAGAAGGGTAGAATCTTTCCCGTTCTCTGTCAGTGCCAAAATGTCGGCCGGCGAGCCATTAATTGTTTCCTACTTTCACAGCGGACCGTCTATCGCGTCATCAATGACAAGGCTTCAAGCACCTATGGCAAGCATATGCTTGTTGTACTTTCTTTATTTAGCGGTTCCAGCCATTTGGCTATGAAAATGCCTATTACACTGGCGTAATCATTTGAATGTGATGAAGGGTCTGGGTGGAGCAAAAGGCTATTGCGGAGTGAATATGTTATTATGAGCAGATCACCATCAGTTTATTAGACGTTGGCGTTGTTTCCGGCGAAGCAGAAGCTCCCGTTGCTGTTGTTCGTAGTATCGCAGGTGATGAGGTTATCCATGCTTACATGATGTCAGGAAGTACATAGCTGGACTGGAGCTGCAGGACAGAAAGTTTCCTGCTAAGCAGGTTCTAGTGAACGATCTTTCCTCCCTGTTGCTGTCAAGACAAACGCAATTATCATCACCAGCATCACGATATACAGAGCAAAAATGGAGAAACGAGGACTTGATTCAACATCTTTCTTTCCGCCCTGCTTCCCCATCTCCTTGTTTTCGTCCTTTTTTCGAGCGTGGAAGTTTGTTGTTGCTGCTGCTGTTGTTGGACCTGTTGCTGCTGCTGCTGCTGCTGCTGCTGTTGCTCCGATAACAGCGACGGTTTAGGGAACGAGAGAGGTCTTCACTGGTGATAGCAGTGGCTCAGTGCTTGTTGGGTGACTAGCATACACATGCAACGACAGCAAAAGCAACATCGCCGCCCCGCGCTTGCATCAACAGTAGAGAAAAGGCTACGAAAAAGGGAGCAGCAAGCGAAGCTAATAAAATAGGCCGTATCTGGCCGCCACAGCGGCAACTCAAGTGCTCCTTCTTGGTCGAGCTGCGCCCGTGCTCGAATCGGCGTTCGTTGACGTGACAGCGCTAGATGCGCGTATGACTAGGTCATCATTTCTTATACTACGTCATTCGAGAAAGCCAGAGTAGCAGAACAATGAAGGACGGAATACTGCAATGCATACATGAGGAGAGGGGCAAAGAAGAATTAGGGCAAAGGGGAAGGAAATAAGTAGATCCAACAAGACAGACAGAAAGAGAGAATTAAACCGAGCTTTTCGCTGGCGAACGCCAATGCTTAGTAACTCTCGCCTCATGATGCTTGCATACGCTAGGCGTATTTGAGCACTGTAAGTTTAGCTTAGCGATTGCAGTTGATTGCGAGCGGTCTGTCCGGTTTTTGGGTCCGTGACCGCCGGCAACGTTATAGCCATAAGAACGACATAGTGCAGAAGGCTGTCACTGTCACGCTCGCTGATTACGATTCTGTCCTAGTTTTCGCAAGTATTGGCGGGTCTTGCGTTAGTCTACTAAATGTGTAGTATTGCAATGACAAACTGTGTCTCCTCTATCCCCGCATTTTGTGTAGATGCTGTTTCGCTTGCAATATTAGCAATCGGCAGGAGTTTTAGCTGCTTTATAGCCACACATATGAGCACACGAATAACAACGCGGGTGTATACTTGCACCCACTTCTGAAAAACAGGCTTAGGCAGAACCCACATCGCAGCTCGCTTTCCCTCTTACCGTCTTTCTCACACAGCCCTCTGGCAAATGGGTTTCTATAGAGTATGCTAAGTGTATAGCAAGATAGCTTTATAGCTGGTTGCCCCGCTACACCCTTGACTGTACGTCCCAGTGAATCGCTAGACTCTTCCAATTCACCACTTATGGTAGCAGCAGTAGTAGTAGTAGTAATGGGGGGCAGTAATAACCGTGCTTGCGGCCGAGGAAGATGGCTATGATTAGCCACTGTTAGACGAACAAAATTCGCACTTGCGGGTAACACCCCTCATACTGTCGCGTCTATCGTATACAATAGGTCTTGCAGAGTGCTACCGCTGATTTTTAGTATAACATAAGGCTTTTGACTAACAAGCTACATACGTCCAATTGATGGATAATTTCAGTAGCGTCGTTTGTAGGTTGTCGCATCAGAATACTACTCAAAGGTGATGAAACGAGGTAGTTAAATTTTAGGCCGTTTGATATCTCCGAATGACCTTGGCAATTTATAGAAGGCATCCCAATTCAGCCCAGTGCTGGAGCTCTCCTGTACGTATTAGCACTACACGCACCGAATTTCGAACTCCGGATTTCATAGCGATGGCACGCAAGTCCTTTGTGAGGGGCATCTAGTCAAGAAGTAGATTTCCAACGTGGCCAAGGGATGTACGACATAGTCTGCGATGACCTGAATAGTTCTATGAAGATACCAGCAGTAGGACACGTAACGCAATCGTTTTATGCCACAGCGTTTCCTGAGCGCTTTGATTCCGCACTATTACCGGCATTAAAAAAACAATATGAAGGGTCTCAGCTGACGAAATAGGCAAGCTTATCACCGAAAACTGTCATTTACCACGACGGTTTCGTAGCTTTCACAGAGTGTTATTACAGAGTGTTCGTGTCTCTGTGGGCTGTGGTATCCTCTAAATTATTTTCCATTACCGGGCCGTAAGGGTAGCTCTTGTTCCGTTTGCCTGTATGTAACAGCCGTGGCACAGCTCAGCGAAAACAAGGTAGAGAATCCTCTCTTTAGGACAACCTGCTAAACGTAGCTAATGTTTGTGTGGTCAACGTGGCAACGAGTTCTGTCGGTAACTGACTAGCAAGTTGAAATTCCTTTACTTAGGTTCAAGTAATCGACAAACAATTAAGTAGACGAATATATTAATTAGCTATCTCATCAATGCCAGCCAGCTATGTCACCATCATTAGGATTTTTTTGTTGACAATTTCAGGCGTCATGGGCTGTGAGTCCTGCAGAGTTAGCTCTGTCTCCGCGAGGCTGCCCCCCGGAGGGCCCTTACCACCAATCCCCACATCCTACACAAACGACCTCTCTCTCCACAGCCCAATATGATAGCACGCTCAAGGTATCATGGGTTTATTTTTTCTATTTCAAATCATTTTTTTGAGATTTATATTTGTATTGATGATATTAAACGTATGCGGAGTCACACAGTTATATATTGAACGTTGTTCTCCTAATGGAAAGAAGCGTTACACATTGCACACATATCACAGCAGACTTTGTTCAATTTCAAATGCTGAATTTTTAAACCATATATATATATATATATATATATATATATATATATATATATATATGAGAGAGAGAGAGAGAGAGAGAGAGAGGGGGAGAATAACTGGGAATTTTCTTACTTAATTTAAGCAAAAACAGATAGTTCAATAATTTTTTTTCGTGTGTTACTCTTGACGGCCATGTTCCTCCACCGACTAAAATTACAACTGCAATTCGAAACGTAACCATCTGCAATGATCTGCAAATAACTTTTCAATAGTAAAAGTGCGTCTAGCGATACTAGTAGTAGATATAAATTCGTTAAAATTTCAATAAGTTATATAACTTCAGACACATTGCCAGCCAAAGGCCCTACAAGTACAGTGGTTCAAAATGGCCAAGTAAAAGAAGGCGCCAAAAATTTCAAAACGACTAACCTTTGGAGCTCACGCGATTGGCAATGGTTATCTTCGTCTTCGGACGTTAATTTCTCCATGAAAAATCTAGGTATATCGAAAATGCTCTTTCTCGACTTAAAAATTTTTCCATATTACCATTTCTCTGAACATTCAAACCCTTCAAACGTCAGTCGTAATGAGGATCTCCTGATTTGCCTAATCGATATCTTCCTGAGCTTTTAAGAAGAAAATTCATAAAGACTTTTAATAATAGAGGTCGCCAATAGCATACCGCAAAACAACGCTCGGATTTATCTAGCGCGAAAAGACCGAATAATAAGCCATATTCGGCCGAATCGTAGAAGCGACGCACCGTTCGCCGCCATAAAAAGCCAGATCGTAATTTATTATACAAAAACGAGAACACTATGTATGTACATAGTGCGCTGGGCAGGGTTGCGTATTTACTTGCCGACATTAACCCAACCCGATCCTAACATTATGCCATGTACTATTAATTAACCTATGCCAGTCGATTTGCACGTAAAACTATTTACTACAAGACTGACTTTTAACAGATCACAATGTAGAGAATCTATAGCACTTGATTCTCGCCATTTTTACTAATATTGGATTTACTTGTCGATTCATTTTCTCTTGTTATTGTACACAGTCTCTTTTTATTACAGACAGGCTCTGCTGTAAAACTGTATGACGAATTATTAATTGTCCTTTCACGATTACGAAAATAGGCACATTATCTGTGTTAGCAGGAACTATATGCCAAAGTCGTTAAGGACACGAAAACAGGCGAAGAAAAGCTGATCTGTGTTCGAAATAGGGGTTGCTTAAACAGTAAACAGACTTTCCTTCTTATTATGAAGCAAATTTTTGATGATCGTGGACGCACAGTTTACCGCGCATTATGCATAGCTCAATTACTAATATCGAGATTTTCAAAATCATTGATTTTCCAACTTCAACACTGCAGAGAGTTCATGACCTCGATTTTAAAACAATATACCTAGCAAATAGTTATATAAGACCTTTAGTTAATATAAGACCTAGCAAATAGTTGCATAATTTGAGTTGAGACCGACGTAAGTTAGCTTAGCTTCTGCCTACAATAAAATTAATCTATATTCAGTATATCATAAAAATTTCTACATTTTGAAGATCCGAAAATGTTGAACGTTCTATTTATTTTCCCCGAAGTGCATTAGTCCAATATTCTTATGACCGCCGGTAGAAATAATATAATTAGTGCCTAATTACACTAGGTAAAATAATCTTCATCATTACAGTCGTAGAGCTATCGCGGTTGCGCCCCAAGGGGTCACTGTTATTGAGCTACGTCAGGGAAAATGATCGTGGGCGTTTAGCGCGAAACTGCCCTAAAAGGCCACTTAATTTGAAGACACTTATATTAACCAAGTGTGATTTTCTAAATTTCGATTCAGAAGAAGACACGGCTAAATAATATGCCAGTTTTCGGAAAGAGGTCCACACGGACAGCTATACCAAACACGCGCTTTCCATGCCTGAAGCCGTAGCACATGTAGCGGCCGCCTATGTGGCCTTTAGTATTTTTTAAGTTTTCCTAATATTTTCTTATGGGTGGCGGTTTCCATCACATGATTGTGAATGATCTTTTTCGTGTGAACTTGTTCGCTGCTCGGGCGTTTCCGTTCATGAGTAATTACGGCTACGCCTCTTCGGCCAATTAACTAGATGAATCAACTTAGGAAAGTCTTCGTTTTCATGACAGTTAGATATTTCTAGCTACCCTCACTTTAAGCCCACTTCATGTTTTCGACCAATTATTTCTCTAAGAATCTTAATGCGACTTATCAGAATGGGTAACAACCTAATGTTTAACATACCTGATTATAAAGCGCCATCTGCAAAAACAAGTATCACTCAGCGTTTGTAAGAGGGTACAGAAATTGAGCGACGCTTACCATATGCAGCGGGTTTTGAATTAAGAACACTTATCCGAAACAGGATAAATAGCTGTACATATTCAAATATGTTTCTATATGCCGATGATACCTCTGCATAAATAAGCAGAACTGCTATTGGTTACGTCTCTGGTAAATTAAATAAAGATTCTCCTGGATTTCGTTTCTAGGCCTATATATAGCCCGGATAACATATTACCTACTCGAGATAAACTATTTACTAGAGCCTATTGTATGTTTGTTGAATGATTGACTAACGAGACTAGTTCCTCGTTGCAGCTAATGGTGAAACGAGCTGGCCAGTTACTTAGCTTGGCTAGCATATTTTCAAAACATAAAACAAATTCTTACACGTTAATCTTCTCGTGCAGGATCATCAATCCAGTCGTCCTTTTTACTCTCACACTAATGTCGAGTCAGTTTTATTATGGAGATGCTATCGTGTATTGATGGTGTAAAAATTAGTCCGCAACGCCCGCGAAGCTTCGCTGAGCAACTGTTTCGAAATTATTCAGTTCCCTATCCTCTACGTATGCGAAGCCTTGTATATTCCACGATCTAGTGGTCAATCAAATCGACTCAGGTATATTCAGCCAGATAGTTTCAATGTTCAAAGCCAATCGCGCGGGCGCTGAAGGGAAACAGTTCTAGATGAACATTGGTCTATAAGGGTGGCCATATTCAGGCTTACACTGGCCTACTATTTGCCATAGTTCGATAAAAACGTTAGCAAACGTTTTCAGATTGCCGACACAAAATTAACACATCATATTCCAGCGATCGTAAGCGTGTTGTAGTCGAAAATTAAGTAAAACTAACATTTACTGCTGAATTCGTGCCAATGTCTCGTAGCGCCAATGCGCCCCGTCCCGCCCCGCCTTGCCAAATCGTATGTCGGCGTTAAATAGTTAACGGAAATGCTCAAGTGGACCTCACTGATTGGAGTGCTCGCTATATGATTGAGTGTTTCCGTATGTAAGGTCTCGTAAAAAGAAAATGAGCAGATATCACTAATGGCGAAAAGGTGCTAACAATAAGCGGACTGCTTCGTTAGAAGAAACGTACACTATGCGTAGCATTTAAAGTATTTAATGTTTCTTAACATGAAATCGCCAACGTTGCAAGGCAGCTTAGGCGAAACCTGCCTATGTCGCCGAGCAAAATCGGTATTACGAATTGAAGAAGGGTACTATGAAGCTGGAGGATCGTTTAACTATTGACCAACTCCAAACAAACGAATTCGTTTTTATCGGAAAAAACTAAATTGAAGATTTGGCCATTGAGAGCTAAAAAAAAATATCTATTCCTCAGACGAGCCTCATATTGCAATTCTTAAAAAACAACACATACCGTGCTTTATACGGGTTGACGAATGGTTCCCCGAAAACTGTGTTGTGCCAAAAATTTCCGATAAATTATGATACGGACCATGATTTCCGGCAGAGACACTGAAATGATATATTTCACACAGGAAATACTAGAGCAGGAATATTCTGAACGCGAGATGTTGCGTCAGGCATAGGAATGGTTCCCTATCGGGCACTACGCTCTTTTGCCCAATAGGGCGCCTTATTAGACAAGTCTAGACTACCTGCTCCTAACAACAATCAGATATTGTCGTGGCCTTCTAATTCGGAAGACCTTAATCCCATATGGAACATCGGTTCGGGCCGGAGAGGAGATGGCAAATATTCCAGATATTTGTGTGTGGCAATAGGATCCACTCATAGCTAAGGCAGCGAGAGATTACGTTAAGAGTACGTTCCAAAGAGTAGTAGTAGTTATGTGTGCAGGAAGCAGTGTCATAAACTACCGATTCTGCATAATCGGCCTTAAAAGTTGAGACTATTTGATCGATCGAACCGCGACTGTATCTCTACTTCTGCAGTTTCGAGTACGAGGAAGCATAGTAAAATATCGAACCACATGACCTCCTCCGTTACTTTATGGACGTATCATCTAGTATATGAATCGATACTTATGAATTAATATTTGCTCATAGTATCTAACAAATGAATAATGCCGAGAAGTTCAAAATTAAGTTAAGAGCTACCAAGCTGTTCTCTGGATCGTGTCGAATACTTTTCATATTTTCTACTACGTACCTGTGGATGACATTGGGTCCCAATAGACACCAAACTAAATCGGTTACAACTAATAAGATGGACAGTTTTATGCCGTTTACTAGAGGCTTTCTTCTGCTCTTTGTTTGATTTTACAGAGCTTTCGGCCATACAGCGATATCCGGCCGGAGCGTCGCTGAGAGCCGCTTGAACAACCGTCTTCATCTTAGGCCACAGTCAGAAGATACACTAAACAAGATTGGTCCTATTTCCTCATTTTATAAAGAAAATAGACGAGCAGAAGTCGAAGGAGATTTGGTCTAAAATATCGTCAGTGTATATGACCACTTCGTAGCATCAGAAAAACCAACACAACATAGTGGAGATCAAGATGAAGTAATCAGTGATTCTCATTGACTACTACTCGCCATATGAGGCCATACAAATGGACTAATCATAGTTGTGTTCCTCAGATGTGGATTGTCTCTTTCTATTCTATGACATGATACTTACCGTTCCATGGACAGATTTAACATATAGCAAACGAAAGATACGAGGTAATTGCAGAGTTTCCAGGATGGATGAGTGTTAGAATAAGCTGGACTGAAACCCAGTCTGAATAACATTGTGCTGATATTAGTAGCACTAGTGTGTGGGCAACCTATATTCTCGAGCTGTACATATTGTATAATCCTTTGTTGTAAATGAAGGCGAAGTAAGGAAGTTCGGTAGCTGAAGCAAAATATAGGATGAAACCAGAATATACGGAGGTATGGGCGTAATCCTTAAGGCCGAAACCCTCATGTGGACAATATGTAGAGGAAGGGGCGCAGAGACAAAAGCTGAAGGTAAGCTTAATGAAAAGAGAAGACCTGTGCACATGGCAAGAAGAATCGGTGATATACTATATGAGCAACAAAGGTATAAGACATAGTAAGACGAAAAGGAAGCATGGTTAAATATTTGCAAACGATGCTTAACGTATACATATGTATTCACAATTTTCGATCGAGGGTTTGAGTACTGCTACAGGAAGCTCTTAATGCAAGATATGTACGGTCTACGGTGGCTGCGGCTTTTTAAAAAACGTTACTTCGGAAATCTTTCCGACAACTTATTTCAAGTTGTACTTACGTCAGCATTTTTTTTTTCTAGGTACGCGAGTCTAATAAATTCGGAATAGAATCAACTGGCCGTAGCAAAAAGGAACCGTATATTGATCGGAATAATTGCAATGGGTATAGTGCCGCATAGCGACTAAAACAACAATAGTAATTATAATAAAAATAATATTTAACATTTAATATTACACAAGTATAATAATAGAAATATTCAAGTCATAAAGACCATTAGCTGCGATTTTTGCTATAGCGGTTATTATTATTATTACCATTACTATACTTGTATGTACAACTGCGTCAAAAATGCGCTGAACTCGTAGAGGACTTCATAGAAATATCTGGCCTCCTTGATTGCTTGATTGACTCAATGGAAAACGTTTGATTTCACTTCAACCTCAGAGGGATTGAAAGAACAGCATGTACGAAAGTGTAATTTATTTTAGTTTTCTATCCACTAGCGCTGTATTGCGGCGGCAACAATTCATCATACGATTGAGCTACTCTTATTGTATGTATTTCGTATCTGCGGAGGAAGGACACTACTTATCGAGATTGATCTCGTTGTAGAAACGAAACTAACAATATGTACGCGTCGTGTATGCACGAGAACGTGTGGGTACAAAAGCCCATCTTTTTCAGGAACCTGAGGGGCCCGCTCGCGCAGAGTGGCGGACAGCAGTCGGTACTCAAACGGTGATTGTACTTCGCGCACACTGCTGTCCCTGCCGCCGCCAGCGTCTGGGTTCCAACGATAGTCTTCTTTCGCCATGATGGACAGCAAGAGAGAACCTGGTAAACTGAGATCGAACGATTGTTTGTCTGTGCACTAACTCGACCCGCAGCAGCTTCCATCCCGTACACTGGTTGGTTACAGAAAAGCAGGTTCACCTACTTGTCTTCAGCGTAGGCGTAGGCGTGCATGTTGAATTTTAGGTGGGTCTGATAACGATTCTGATTGCAATGACGAAGCTGATGCTGATGAACAGGGAGGATGTTCGGAGTTACGGAGATAATAAGTATATGCCGTAAGGTGAATGTAGGAAGATGAAACTCGACTTAGCGGTGAACGCGTCTGAGGGCTTCAGGTTAGGTTACAATGCGTGTGAGGATTTTGTCACCAGACCACAGGTATGCTACGGTAGAACGTAATTGACACAAACAGAAGAGAGAGCGACAAAACTGTTACAAAGGGGTTGACCAGGCGGCTACCGACGAAGTATCTACTTGTATGCTGCATGTGTAATGGCCAACAACATTCGATGCAAGAAAGGCCTGTACACTGAGGGGGAATATATAAGCAGCCAAGCGAAGGCTAAACGACAACATTTTAACCAGTGTATTATTTGATAGGACACATGTGAGGGTGAACCTACCGAGTTCGGAAAAAAGAATGAATGATAGAAAACAAAACACGAGAACTAAAGAGTTGCTCATTTTTCATTTAAATTTCTGCCGGTAGACGCTGAGCATGCTGAAATGATATAGGGGACACACAAGGCGCACAGACCTATTCAAAGAGATTACAAAAAACATTTGAAGTACGTGCGCGGGAGGTATAAATTAGTGAAGTTCACCAGAATGGAACTTATTTTACTTAACAACAACTTATGGTGAAAGCGCAACGCTGTTCAAAAGGGCACCAAATAACGAAGTGATCAAAAATCAAAGATGGAACTACTTACCAGTGTAGGATAATGGACGGAACAGCCGAAATAACGTTGTCGCTGAACGTAACGATATAGATACAGAAACTAATAATACAATTATCAGCTGAGTAATCAATTATAACTCTAATTTATAAATACAAAACAAGTTAAAAACGGACAAAGAAGTTTAAGGATCCAGATGAACGAATAGAACCACAAACATTTCAATAGAAATTGTTTATTGTACTTATTACTAATATATATATATATATAAAAAAAGTGCACGTCAACACTGCGATATAAATATGTAAAATAAGGTTTGTGTAAATATGCAGGTCTTGAATAAATAATTTACGAGTGAGTAAGACATTTTGTCCTATTTTCATGTTTAGCTTCTAAAGCAAGCATAAGGTTGTGCATGATGTATAGGTTGCGTAAGTTAGCTCCAGACAATATCGAAATCGAAATTTTTGTTATAAACGCGGTAGTCATTAACTACACGCGAAGAAAAACTTTTCTTTCTAAAAAAATTTATAGGCTTATTACAAAAATCACTGGTTTTTTTCCGAAGCACCTGAAAGTAAGTACTGTCAAATAATTTGACGCAGGCGCGGAAGTATGCGTGATGTGCTCGAAGCTAATGCTTCAAGAGTTTGTCATTGCTGGGCGGGCTTCAAACAGTACAGAAAAGCCCCTGTATGACAATGCGAAAAGCACACAAGAAAAAGTAGTAGGAAATTCAACAAAAAAAGGCATAGAAGTGCATACCTGATTGTGGTAATATATTGATTCCGAACTTCTTTACCCTTTTTAAAAATGACTTTACCATATGGTTTGTGAAGATATATCTCCTAATATCAAAGAAGTTTTAAAAAGTTGTCCCTGATGATGCTCGAACTCAGATAGTCCTTCGCGAGCCGTATTTATTAGCACGACGAATCGGATTGTACCAGATGTCTTTCTGTCGAATGGATCCTTTACATGGAAGCAATCACTCGCCGGTGATATGGCCGACGTGAAATTTATCCAGATAACGTTAGAAAGCTTCGTGTGCAGGACACTCCCGTAGTCATTGTGGTAATTTAATTTGCCCTCTTTACTTCACGTATACGCCTAGCATGCATTGCTATATATATGTTTAAACAGTCAACTTGCAAGTGTCTGCTTCAAAAGAAGGGTTCTGTAACCGATTCACATAAATAGTGTGTACGGTGCCCCATGGTCCTTTCTGAACTTGTCAAAAAACTTTGCACCGCGTATCATCATCTTAGAGACGATCGAATGCTTGAAGCTGTAGTCTGTTTATTATAGCGTATTAGAGCGGCTTCTGTGCCATGGTGAACGGCATTTGTAAGCACTTTTTTTTTTGAGGTTAACCAGTCGTATGGGTATTAACAGCCGCCATTAAGCCAGCAACTATTACCAGATTATATTAGCGAGCTTTCCTGCATAGATGCTCTGAACATTAATGGCTCTAAATTTAGCTAGGGAAAGCGTCTCTCTGCTTTGTACAGGTTTTTCCCACTGAGCTGATTTGGAAGCATGAGCACCCATCGAAGCCGCGTATTCCTACAGCGTAACGCCCCCCCTGGACTTCATAGTAGTCCTTTGGGATTACGTGAACCAACAATTTTCCAGTAATTAAATGTATTGACCTCAATAGGCTTTAATCTGTCATCATAAAAAACTTCAACACCCGACTCCTCTTGTATCAGTGAAGCTTAGAATGCCGCTTGGCTATAGTTGTAGTTGACATGTAAACTACATAGAAAGGCCCATCATGAACATAAAGTCCTAAACTGTTCTCCTTCTCATCTAAGCGTAAACGCGATCGGATAGGGCCGTGGACGTAAATAGAGTTTGTTTTAGTAAAGTGAGAAACGAGAACTGTTTTAAGTAAGCTGATTAACAAACAACTGGTGAATGATCGGCTAACCATGGTTCTCTAGAGCTAACAGATCGAAAGAGTCTAGCCAAAGTGTCTTTGACATTGTAATGATATGTAACAGTTAAACTTGGTCTAACTAGATATGGAACTTGTCATGTCCAAATAGTCATTATACCTAGGTCGTTTGTTACGTTAAGTAATCGTTCCGTAACATTTGCCTTTGTGTTAGTTACTATGTATCTCTCAAAGGGTTCTCCTAGGGAAAGCGGACTGGCGAGACTGACTCTCGCCATCTTTATCTTAAGGGTCGCCCTGTAACCTGTGAAACTGTCTTCTCTGACATGGCAATCGAGTCATGAAACACACATTACCTCATTTTATGCTATTTATTTGTTAGTACTTGGTAGTGATCATACTGTAAATGTTATTTTTCCAGATTACATATATGTGTGAAGAAGTGACGCTATATGAAATTTGGTTAACGCTAGCGTTGAAAACTACCGGTATCTCGGGGGCCAACAAATTCAGCAGGAAAACAACAAGCACTCTTCTATAATGTGGCCTAAATATAGGCCCCTACTAAATAGACTACTAATGATTTCGTTCAAAGCATTCAACGAAAATCTAAGGAAAATGCTTTTCTATATGATTATTGCTAGCAAAGACGATGCAAAAAAAAGTTCACTGGCAAATGCAGTAGATGAACTACTGCAGCTTTCTAAAGGTAACTAATTGCAATGAAGCATGTACAGTTACCGTCGTTATGAATGATTTTTGGGATAAATATCCATAGTAAATCCTGACCTCTTCTTCTAATCATTCATAATGTGGCGCAGTATCACACGATACGTGATGCAGCGAGCGCAATACGATGCCGTGGCTTAATTTTACATTTATACACATAGGCGTTTCTACGAAGCTAGAAGATGAACATGAAAAGATGAGAGGACTAAGGGGCCTCAGTTCTGTAAACTTCTATGTAAAATTCAATGTCCTTTATAACGATAATCCCCGAGTGGTCTCATACAATGCAATTTAATGTAAATAACTGAACTTGTTTTTAGTTTACCTTACCCATAATGAGAGAGGCAAAACGACAGTGAGTAAACGAGCCAATCATTTAAATCGATAAAAGTTAGATGAAGCGTGAAAAAGCGTGCCATATGGCCACATCTTTCAAGAATCGGCCGAAGAAGAGAACCCAGTGACGTGAATTACGCAAAATTCCCAACTCGTTTGCCCTTAAAGATGCTAAATGTCTTATAGTATCGACGTTTAGAATCAATGATCACTTGTTAAGTAGTATGCAGTAACTCATAAAGCCATTGTTGTCTTACAACATACTTCGAAGTTGAGTCATGAAGGGTTAAAGAACTTGTTGCAGACAGACAGACAATTGTCAATCTACCTAAATTGCGTTGACACTATTAGAAAAAAAAATATTTTCTTTATGTTTTATATCTGAGCGCGCCTCTAAGCGTTGCCGAAGATACCTAACTCCTTGCACGAGATGAACCGTGCATGGAACCCAGACCATATCAAGGGTCGCCAAGTTTATTGGTAAATATGTTGCCATTCACCATCGCAGGAAGTTACAGTGGATTATAATTACCTTGACCAAGTTCAATTCAACGCTTGAGGGTTTCGTTCTGGGTATAATACAAAATAATTAAATTAGGGGATTTCTTCATGAATTGGCAAAATGTCAGGAATGTTCGTTACGAACTTCGATTAGAACAATGCATGTGCACGCTATAACTCTAATATATGCATAAAACTTTTCTACTTCTTTCTCTGTTTTCTATATGCCAATAAAAAAAAAAACTAGTTTGAGGGAATTCTAGAAAGCACATAAGGCGGAGAACGGGTTCAGCTGGCGAGATCGGTCCACGAGAGCTAGATTTAGCTGTCCTTTAGATCATACACGGTTATTTTTGTTTATAATCTCACACGATTGCCATTGACAATAAACTCACTGTTTTTTTTTGCTCTGTTTATTATTCAGATGTGCCGTCATTAAATTTCATAATCGAAATTATTCTATATTATTATATTAAACTAAATCTAAATTAAGCTCTGTTTGTTACGTTTGTAATAGTTATATTGATTAGAGAAGAATTACTATATGTTTTCCATAATTCGCATAAAGTAGCACGGAACTTTTACTATGCATCTTGATTATTACGAATTAAAAACGAAGGAAATGGGAAATGTTGTGTTGAAACTGTAATATATCTAGAAACGTTTTGATTCCCAGACATATGGTTCTAAGTAAACACAGACTAGAGGTACCGGTAGTTGCACGTATATGTCTACAACAACAAGCTTATGTAAAACAGAGATGCGTGCACTTATTTAATTTCCAGAGTGACTCCAGATTTGACTAGATAAACATATGAATATATCATTTTCCATTTGTTTATTAGTCCTCGTTGTCAGTTTCATACCAATCCTTATAGAACCGATAGGTGTTACATAGTAATTCGAATTTTTTGTAACGCAAAGATCTGTGTGTGTATCATAAATCAAAGACTGGGTGTAAATCATTCTTGTACATATATGTTTTTGTTACTGTTCTTGTTCTGCGATGTGATTTATAACTTGATAATAATAATAATACAAACGTTCATTTACCTGCCACTGCTCATTGAGGTAACACTGTTATTATAAAATGGTTAGTTATAGAGGCCTGCTTGTGCGTCTATCCGGTGCACTGGCCTTGTTTTCGGCTATATTAACAAGCTCGAACATATATTTGCGCCGGCAGATATTCCACTAGGCCTATAGACGTCTGCCTTTGTATTTGTGAGTTTGTCTGCATCCGAATCACTGTAATGCAAAGAGACTTCGCCACTCTTGCTCAGCACCTTGTCACTACGCAATGTGACAGCAAAGCAGAACGGATGGGGCTCGCAGTAACCGTCAAATAGAGAATTCTCGTCTAATATTAGAATTAAGCGAGAAGCACGGAGCGCGATTCAGCCCCCAAGGAGGCAAAAGAGATGTGAAAGTATAGTCAGACGCCCGGGGAGTTATAGTGAATAGGCCAACTAACCACTTTGGGGACACCACCGATCTCAATAGACGACCAAAAGGTAATATCATGGCTAGTGGGTTCGGGCTCAGCTGAACAAGGACCCAGACGTTCCATCTGGTGGCAGTCGGACCACTGATGGTCCAGTGTGAGGTGATCAACGTACACACACATGTGTATATAACACAGGAAGACTATGAATGACCTGGTCAGGGGTGATAAGAGCGAACGGCGAGAAGGCCTGGTGTTAAACACGCTCGCAGGCACAGTACGAACTACTACGCGCTGGACATCACTGGCGGAAGCTAAAAAGGGAGCTGTACGCTTTTCTCTAAAAAGGTCCAAACGGCAGTAAAAGCTGTGCTTGGCTTAGTTAACAACAACACCAATCGC